GTTGTGTGTGTGTGTGTGTGTGTGTGTGTGTGTGTGTGTGTGTGTGTTTGGTCTTTTTGAGACAGACTTCCACTGTGTAGTAGTTGAAGTTGACCTTGAATTTGCAGCAGTCCTCCTGCTTCAGCCTGAGTGCTGGATTATAAGAATGTGACACTATGCCCAGCTTTCCTTAAATTTTAAAAAGAATCTCCTATAAGGATCAATATTATTTAGGCTAAGTCTTATGCAGAGGAGATGGGGTGCCTCTTTTGTTTGTTATTGTTTTGGGTTTTATTTTTTGGTGTTTGAGATTGGTCTTGCTGGGTATTTCAGGCTGACTTGGAGTTCTCAGCGATCCTCCTATCTCAACCTCACCAGTACTGGGATTGCACAGATAGGCCACCATACCTACCTCAGTGAGGGGAGCTTTTTAAGACAGGGCCTCATTTTGTCGTTCAGGCTGAGCTGTCAGCTGGGCTAGACTCAGATGTAGAAGGCTGGGGTATAGTTCTGTGATACAGTACTTACTTAGCATACTGAGGCCTTAGTTCATCCCACAATATTGCAGTAAAGAAATTAACGGTTTGAGGTTTTTGTACTCAAGGTTTTTAGAAATTTTCTTCTACAAAGACCAAGAGCAGGGCCCTTGTGGAAGGTAGCCAGCTGCTGAGGAGGGCCTGGCTACTCCTGTTCTGACTCAGCCCCTCTTGGGTGACATCCCCTGGCCTGGGCCTCTATTTTACAAAGTGGAGCTTTTGCTATTGTGGTTTCAGAACTGTAGGTGAGTGTCAAGGATATGTGTCTCTGGGTGAGAGTCTCCTCACATCCGGTGACCTTTCCTCGCAGACCGCCTGAGGAGCCCACCACCTGGACTGGCTACTTTGGGAAGGTACTCATGGCATCTACCAGCTACCTGCCCTCACAAGTGACAGAGATGTTCAACCAGGGCAGAGCCTTTGCCACCGTCCGCCTGCCCTTCTGTGGCCACAAGAACATCTGCTCCTTAACTACGTGAGTTGGGACAGGCACCCACCTCCTGGTCTCTGCCATGCCACAGTGCTTGTCAGGAATTTTTGGGGAGAGGACCATGGTAGGCCTATGTAGACACAAACCTGAGTGCTTCCTCTGTGGTGGTCCACGAGACCTTCTATTGCCATTTCTGTTGAGTATTTCATGTTGATGGCATGCATTAAGTGAACCCTTTGAAGGCACAGAAACAAGAGCATGAGGACAGGAGCCTGCCTGGCTCCCTAGCTCATGCTGATATGACGCTGATGAGAGCATAGCTGAGGTCTTGCCAGAGACTGATGTAGTGACCAGAGAGACTGCACACCACCCAGCGGTCCCTGCCACATGGGACACCATGCACAGTCACAGCCAGGGGTACCTGTCCTCTTCTGGGTGATGGGTGTGGCCTGGGAAGCTCCATCTATGCTTGCTCTGGGAGGCTTTTCCCTCACAACTAGCAGAGCCCTACGTCAGTCAGATGCATTGTGACAGTTGTGTTCCTAGAACATGGCTGCTTTGATTCCCACTAGAATTCAGAAGATCCCCCGGTTACTGGTAGGCGCTTCCGACGGCTACTTGTACATGTACAACCTGGACCCCCAAGAAGGCGGCGAGTGCGCCCTGATGAGACAGCACAGGTGAGCTTCTTGGCATCTAGCTTCATGGGTAAAAACTAGGGACACCAAGGCAATTCTGTGTGCTGGCCTATACCCTCAGGGGCTCCCTCTCCCAGATGAAGCTGATTCCACCTAATGCCAGGACCTCTCAGCTAGAGAGGAATGGGCAGAGAGGGCAGTGCTGTGGGTACCCCCCTGGGTGGAACAGCACAGGCAGCCCAGCCTAAAGCTGGGCCTTAGAGGATTTTGTTTTGTTTTTTGTGTATTTGATACAGGGTCTCACTGCACAGCTCGGACTTGTAGTGATCCTCCTGTTTTCAGCCTCTTCAGTGCCAGGATTACAGGCATACACCACCACACCCAGTCTTGGTGGCCAGCTCAGTACATGGGCTCAGCTCACAGGGGCAGGCCGGTGCAGCTTATGGTCCTGGGGATCAAACCCTTGTCCCTGTGCTTGCCTAAGCAGGTGCTTAGTCTGCTGAGCTATCTTGCCAGCCCTGGGGCCTTAGAGTTTTGATACTGGAAAAGACCAGGGCACAGTGGCCTCCCCAGGCCACATGGATCGCTGGGGGATGTAGGCTTCAAGATTCACTTCTATTCATGGGAAATAATGTGCTTTGACTATGTCCTTCACACATCTATTCAGAAGTTCTTACTATAATACTGTGATGCACTCAGTCAGGGTAGAAGTGGAAAAACTGTTTCTTGAGTGCTAAATTCAATCCTTGACCATCCTTTAAAATAAGATGCCTCACTTGCTTTAACTTTGCTGGGTTTTCATGTGAAATGCTAGGGGACAGATGCCCAGGGTGGTGGGTCAGCAGCCATAGAATAAGGGACAGCAGTACCCACCTGAGAGTGGCCTATTGTCAGCATCTTGTGGCTGTTCAGCGTCCTTCCGGAAACACTCAGCCCTGGTCCCATGGCTTTCCCCAGGCTGGATGGCAGTATGGAGACAACCAGTGAGATCGTAGACTCTGCCTCCCACGACTGCCCTTTAGTGACACAGACCTACGGCGCGGCGAAAGGTGCTTATACGCCCTCTTCCCCCACGAGGCTTGGTAAGGGGCAGGACGCAAACCTGGAAGGTAAATGATGCCGCAGAGGCCTTTGTCCTGTCCGTGTGTTTGCACTAGGTTGCCATCTCCTACATGGTATCAGAAAGGGGAAATGGTCATCCTCCTTGGTCAGAGGCAGGAAGGGGGACCGATGGGACTATGTGGCAGGGCAGAATGCACACAGGCCCCTGAGATCACCTGCATAGGGACTCTCGCAGGTGTGAGCTGGCTGTATGCCCTGAGGTCTTAGGCAAGAGCTGCCAAGAGGGCGTCCTGTTCCCCAGGCACCACAGCGGATAGCCCTGCTGGGCCCAGCGTCCGCAGTTGCACTGAGCATCTCCCTGTCTGTGGGGAAGGTGTGGCCTGCCAATTTGGAAGCCTAGCTCATTATGCATGCCTCCTTTTGACACTGATGGATTTGGGGAGGTGTTTTCTCTTGAGTTGCCTATGGCCGCAGAGACCTGTTAAGAGGAGTGGTTCAGTTCAGAAGATCTTGGTGTGTGCAGCCCCAAAACCTGCACCTCATGCCCAGTACTGAGGGTAGCTCTGTCCTTGCAGCCTACACGGACGACCTAGGGGCCGTGGGCGGTGTGTGCCTGGAGGATGAGGCCAGCGCCCTGCGCCTGGACGAGGACAGTGAGCACCCTCCCATGATCCTGAGGACTGACTGAGCTTCACCTCGAGCTGACCCTGGGAGCAGAGAGCAGGCCTGATGGGGACTCTGCATTGCTGCTATGAACTTTGACCTGAATTGAGGGAGAGGATGGCAGAGACTTTAAAAAAAAAAAAAAATCATAGTAATAGTCTAACTCCGTACTTTCGAAAAAATATACCGTTTTCACTGCAGTGGCTTTTAATCCTGCTCATGAATTTCAGCTCTTTGTTTTCTGTTTTGTTTTGTTTTCTCTTTTTTTCTATTTTCTTTCTTTTTTCCTTTTGCCAAAGTTAACTGTTTGGCGAAGCCTAAAGTCTCCTTGCTTTGCATGCGTGATGTGCCAAGCCAGCACCCAGGAGCTGGCCGCCTGCGCAGCAGAGCTCGGTCCTCTGGCTTCCCTGTCTGTATGTAGCGATGGCACAGGAAGCGTGCCACACGCTGGTTTGGTTGTCAAAGCTGTTTCTGCTGGGTGCTGGCGCACGTCAGCCTTGGGCAGGAGTTCTCTTGCCCTGAAGCCCCACCTGGACCATTTTCCCTCCACTTTATTTTGTTAATTAAATTCTTTCCAAATTGGATTATTCTGGGGTTCTTCCGTGGTGGACTTCCATTTCTGATCTTCTCTGAGTGGATGATTGGGAGATAGATGGGTTCTTTCTCATGCTAAAACCCCTTGCTCCTTGACAGGGAGCTTGACTGTGTGCCTAATGAACCTGGAGCCAAGGAGAATGATATTCTGGGGCCTTAAATTGTGTCTCCTCTGTTTTCCTGTCAAGAAATTGACTATGGGAGGAGAGTTTGTAGCTATCCCTAAGCAAGCACAAAAGTAACCCACTGCTGGGTGTTGTGGTGCACACCTGTAATCCTAGCCCTCAGGAGGCTGAGGTGGGGGATCACTACAAAGGCCAGCCTAGGCTACATAGCAAGAACCTATCTCAAGCAAAAAAAAAAAAAGTAATACCCAAAGGGTTTCTGAATATCTAACCAGGAGCCCCTCCCCTAGTAGGTTATGTGAGAGATGAAGGCATGAGAGGGACAGTGCTGTGGTCACCCTGTATCAAGTGACATGTCTGCTGCAGACTTAGAGCATCAGTTGAGCAAAGCGATGAGAGATCATGGTCACAGGCTTCAGTATTTACCTAACTTTCCTTTTCATTTACATAGAATTAAAACGTTAGCCAACTTGAACATCAGCATTTCCAATCAAGCATGGAGCAGTGGAAGTTTTGAGGGCTTGAACCTGGAGTTTATGGATCTGCAGGTCGTGTGGCATCACTTGGGGAGGTCACCAGAACAGGGCCCAGACATGTCCCCTAGAGTCATGAAGCCAGACAAGTGCTTGCAGGAAGCAGTGGCCAGATGCACAGGAGACAGACGTGGGGGCCTGAGCGTGGTTCCAGGGACCAACGCCAAGAATGTTTTAAAAGGAACTGCGTTAGAATGCGATCTGTGCGGTGCCTGCTTATTGACTGTCCGGTTTGCAGAGGCTTGGGACCCTGGATCTGCTTTGCCAACTTTCCTTCAGCTTTCCTTGAGATTGCTCATCCTAGAAGATGATGGGAGCTCGCTTCCCTCTCATGGTCCCTGTCTCTGCCACTGGAACATGAAGCATTTAGGAAAAAAGTGGCCTCTGCTGTCCTAGAACTGTCAGTCCTGGTCTCCTACAGGGTGGAGATCCCCAGGACTGGGCGGTGCTCTCGCTCCCAGATCACAGAAAGCCCTCTACGATTGGCTTCATCATGAGATTACACAGATGTGTATTTTCCTTCCAGTTTAATTGCTGGGAGCCCCTCTTCCCCTGGGCTTGGACTCCCTATGTCACAGATAGGCCTTGGGCATGTACAGGAAGGATGGGGAAGAGGTGAGGAATAGAAACCTCGAGGCAGTTGTAGGATTCTCTCCACCCAGCCAGAAGCCTGGGGAAGGGGACTTGAGCTGCAGTACATGCTTACTTAATTGTATGTTTCCAGAAGAAGATAGAGGGCACAGGATTGGGAACAAAACAGAAACTTCTTTAATGGACTTGTGTGGATTGGGACCAAATCTATATTTTATTTTTCTTATTTTTGAGATTGAAACAAGGTCTCACTACATACTTCTGACCGGTCTTGTTCTCACTGTACAGCACAGGCTGGCCTTGAGTTCACAGCAGTCCTCCTGCCCCAGCCTCCCAAAGGCTGGAATTGCAGTGATGTGCCATCAGGCCAGGCTTCTTTTATAAAAGTTTTCTAAAGCAGTGGAACCAAGAGTTAGATGCTGTCCTAGCAGCCAGTATGAGCTGCAGGGGTGGTGGGCTTGGGTCTGGTCTGTGGCAAGAACACCTTCCCTCGCAGACCAGTCACCAGCAACAGTGTGACTGCTTGGCACAGTGCCTGGCTAATGCAGGCATACAGTTTCACAAACTCTGAGCCCCAGGTCCGCCCTCACCCCAGCTCATGCATGCCATTTGACCAGATGGCACTGCCTGCCGCCACCTCACCACCTGGCCTGTATCTCTGACCTGGGAGCTTCAGATGTTGCTCCCTGCCTGACGGGCTTGGTGACTTCGGACTTAAGATGTACCCAGAAAGACCAGAAGAACCTCCTGGGTCCTCACAACCAGCAGAGGAAAGAGGGACACTGGGCCTGGGAAATGCATTCCTTGCCCCTTGCCACAATCTTTCATGGTGTCATGGCAGGGCCAGCATACAGATGTGGCTGTGAGCCTGTCCTCTGTGGCCACACTGTTCTGCAATGGCCGGATCATGTGGTTCCGGTGTGCATCTGCCAGGTCAGGCACCGAGTGCCGGGCTGCAGTACTTTCCATGCTTCATCTTTGCGTGGGAAGGAGGTGGCAGGCACGGGAGCCTGGAGCCTACTGGGCACACAGGAGCACCTGCTCGCTGGGCAGCCACCTGTCACTGCAGCCCGCACGATGGTGATGGCACCTGGGAGGGAGCACAAACTGACACTGCCTGGGCCTCGCAGTGCAAGCAGCCCTTCCTCCTCCCAGGTGTCTGGCTGGAAACAGCTCTGATTCAAAAGAACTAACCCTCTTTAAAGCTGAGACCGTAAGGGAACTGTTGTGATTCTTCACTCTGATTTTCCTTCTTACAAAAAAAAGGCACAAAATAAAAAAAAAATCTAAAAAATATTTCTGTCTTTTCTGAGTTATTTAAATGTATTTTTAAATTTTCCTTTCTGGCAGTGTTCACATCCTTGAGTGTGTTGTGGGGTGTGCACACATCCGTGAACGCATTTGTGAGCCCGCGCACAGGGACACTGGGTGCACCTTCCGATTACAGCCGTGGCATGTCAAGTGCCCATCACTGGAGCATTTTCACCAGGAAATAACCTTCTACGGGTTCTTTTCATCCACTGCGTACTACTGGGCTGAACAGCTAGTTTACAAATGGCACTGATTCTCCTGAGAATATTGCACAAAGATGAGAGACCTCATCTAAAGGTTTTTGCCCAGAATTCCTGTTTGTTTTGTATGAGATGAATTCTTTGCACTGGAATTCATGATCTTACCTGGAAGTGTAGGGCTTGACTGGCAGAGGGCAGGCTGAGGCAGGTGAGTCTCTGTACTTGACCCCCACGCCATCCCCCTCAGGCTGCAAGACTTGGTCAAATGGGCAACCTGCCTGTGCTGACCTGAGTGTCTCCTTCGAGCAACATGGCCCTCTGCTCAGTGGCTTTGGCACAAGTCTCAGCATGGAAGGTTTGCTGACCTCAGTCAAGGCTGGCGACGTGCACAGCTGCAAGGCCACCACCTCTCCTAGGAGTGGCTGCAACATCACGTTCCTCAGGGACACTCAAACCCATGTTTCTGATTGTGCTACTTTCAGTTGCTTTCAACTACTATGTTGTATTTTTCAGTAGATCAACAGGAAGGTGTGCTTGAGTTCTTCATAACAGCTAAGCATTTTTCTCAGGATTAGGAGGCAGTGATGGGGACAGATGAGAGTGGAGCTTTTATTTATTTTTCTGGTACATGTCTGTTGTACATTGATTACATTGGTCATGCAGAGTTGACACGTGTGGCATTTCTCAATTCTCAAACCCCACCCCGCCCTGCATCGCTCGGCCCCCTTCCATATGTGTGCGTTTTCTACACGATGGTAGTGTGTGGACACCTTCCTCGTAGGAACTTGGTACTCATATACAGCATTCACAGTCCCTTTGCACAGTCTCCTTTTCCTCCTTTGCTCCCCTCCATCCTTCATCCCCTTCCCATGTGCCAAAGACCCATCTCACTATTTCCTGCTGAATGTCCTTTATTCTTGGGCAATCTCAGCCGCCTATCTTTGAACAAGGGGCTTCATCTTCACCCTGCAGAAAAGAGCTTCTGTAGTGAAGGGTGTGGGACACTGGCTTCCCATGGGCTAAAGATTGAGTGTGGAGCCATACCCCTCACCGTGCACCAAAACAAAACCAAATACTCTGCTGGAAGACAAAATAGGTGAAAGGCAAAGATGGACAAAGGCAAAGATTTTCCGAGTAGGGTTCTGTGTGTCCCTGGGAGTTAAACCCAGGGCCTTCACACTGCACTAAATTACCAGCCCCTTAATTTCTTAAGTTGGGAGGATCTTACTGAGTACCGTAGTCCAGGCTTGCACTTGGAATCCTCCCGCCAGAGTCTCCCAAGTTTGAGATTTGCACAAGTGCACACAGCCATGCCTGACTGAGAACTTGTTTATGAGGTGCCTCTGGGAACAGTGAAGGGGTCACTGTGACAACAACCCTTCGCCTCATCTCATTTCTGCTGCCTGGAGTCAGCCTTCCAGGTGGGTGGCCTCACCAACACCCTTTCAGCCCTACCTACCCCTTTTAAAAAGACGTACATGTGTCTCAGCCCCTTGAAAGGAGGCTGAGGCGGGTTGTTGCCCCACTCAGCCTTGTCCCATAGGCCCCAGTGGCCAGTGCTCCCCCTCAGAAGTCAGCACCCTGCTGCTGCATCCCAGAGGGAGAGACAGGGCCAGGCTGCCTCTGGAGAGCAAGTCTGGATGTGCAGAGAGAAGGTGCAGGCTATAAACTGAGAACTTTGAGCAGGGGAGACAGCTCAGTGGTACATGCTCCAGACTGGCAAGCACAAGGTCCTGAGTTTGATTCCTGGTATTAAAAAAAAAAAAAACCTGACAACTCCCAAAAGGGATACAGGAAGCAAACGGGTGGATCTAGGACCAGCCAGCTAGCTCAGCGGATTAAAGCACCTGCTTAGGCAGAATGCAGCGGCCAGGGTTCGATCCCCAGCATGTGGTGCCAGCCCCACCCCTAGGGCCCACTGAGAAGGTGATTGAGACAGCTTGGTGGCACGTGCCTGTAATCCCATCACTTGGGAGGCTGAAAGCAGGAGAATCACTATGAGTCTGATCTATGTAGTGAGACTCTGTAGCCTCTGTACTAAATACATAAAAAATTTTTTAAAAAGAATGTATCTAGCTGTGGCTTCTGCCCAGTGGGGGATGGCAGGCCCTTGTAGTGTGTTGGGAGCTGGTTTAAACAGATGACTGTAAAGCACTGTGGTACATCTCTGTAATCCCAGCACTCTGGGGGACTAAGGCAGGAGGATCCAAATTTCAAGCCCATCCTGGGG